GAAAGACTATATTTTGAAGGTTGTTTGTATCTTTGACTTTGTTTTTAATGTTCATTTGGGATGAGGTTATCTTCACTGGTTTTTTAGTTCTCTGCTTGTGTTGTTTCTGAGGGAGTTTATAGTGATATAAGCTATATAATCATGTGGTTGGATTTAAGTGGTTAATGAGCTTTAGTGAAGGTTGAACTGATCTGAGTGCCCGAGTTTGAATTCGGATTGGAACAGTCTTTGACTAGACTTTACTTGCCTCACAGTCTAACACCGGATTACTAGAGGCCCTTGAAACTTGAAACTTGTGGCTTAAGACCAAAAAATATTGATAAGTGATATATATAGGGTCGTTTTCAGTTTTCGGAGACCCTGTGTAGGTTAGCCCTTGAAACTTGAAACTTGTGGCTTAAGACCAAAAAATATTGATAAGTGGTATATATAGGGTCGTCTTAAGTTTTCGGAGACCCTGTGTAGGTTAGTCACAATTTAAATGTGGCAAAAAAGTTGGGGCTCTATTTTGTAATGATTTAGTTGTGACAAATGTTTAATGAGGTCCTTTTTAGTCATGGTTTAACCGTGTCAACTTTTGGATCCTGTGCGGTAGCCCGTTTTGCATGCCCTCAAAGACGGTCCTGGCTGTACATATGAAGTAGGCAATTTTGTAGCACTTTTCATCCAATTTGGTATGTTGGTGTTTTATATCTATTTATTTTTTATGAAAAAAATTAACACGGGAAGAAACTGAATTTTGATGATCCATGAAGATGAAAAAAACTTTCGAGATTTTAAAGATCTGTGATGTTTAGTAGGAAAAAAATATTGTTTTGCTATGTGAATACATTAGTGTTGTTAGCTTTTATAATCAGTATTGTGAAAGAGCTGTTGTAGTGCTTTAGCATAGCGAAATTTGAACAAATCCTTATTGTCCTGCAATATACTATTTGGTTTAAAGTGTTGGGAAATAACAACTGTCGTGTAGCACGATTTGAACAACCTGCTATTATTGGTGATCCCCGATTGACAATATTGGCTATAATTATGAATATGAATAGGACATTGGGAGAAACTGATTGAGTGCAAAAGTGGTGGTTTCTTTTCTCTGTAATTATTCAATCTTTATGTTAGAGAACTTGGTTGAGTACAAGTAGAACTAGAAAGGAACATACTGGCTTTTAGAGCTTAGCATGTAGAAAAACACTCAGCTTTTAATGTAAAAATACTTAACCTAAAGGAGCATAGCACCAAGTAAACATTGTAAGGGCATATACCGCATATCTATACCACATACCGAAGAGAATTTGGAACATATAGGAGGGATTGAATGACAAAATGTTCTGTTCTTAATATTCAGTTGATAATTGTTCCCATTAGTGTTTTTGTAGTATTATTGTGTTTTCTATTCAATTCATGTATATGATGCTTAAATTTTCCTATTTTTGTAATGTAGTTATGTGATAAAGACTGAATCAGCTGAAGTGGTTCAATGTTCAATTCAATCACTATGGAATCCTGCAATTGTGTGGAGCCACAATGGCCAGCTGATGATTTATTGATGAAGTACCAATATATCTCTGATTTCTTCATTGCCCTTGCTTATTTCTCAATCCCACTCGAGCTTATCTACTTTGTTAAGAAATCGGCGGTATTTCCATATAGATGGGTCCTTGTTCAGTTTGGTGCCTTCATAGTTCTATGTGGAGCTACACATCTAATCAATTTATGGACGTTTACAATTCATACAAGAACCGTGGCGATTGTAATGGCCACTGCTAAGCTTTTAACTGCTGCGGTATCATGCGCCACTGCACTTATGCTTGTACATATTATTCCCGATCTATTGAGCGTTAAAACTAGAGAGTTATTTTTGAAGAAAAAGGCTGCAGATCTTGATAGAGAAATGGGTATGATTCGTACGCAGGAAGAAACCGGTCGACATGTTAGGATGTTGACTCATGAGATCAGAAGTACTCTTGATAGACATACAATACTGAAGACAACACTTGTTGAACTCGGTAGAACTCTTGGACTAGAGGAATGTGCGTTATGGATGCCGACACGTACTGGGTTGGAGCTTCAACTCTCTTACACATTGCGACAGCAGAACCCTGTTGGATATACAGTACCTATTAATCTTCCTGTGATTAACCAAGTATTTAGTAGCAACCGTGCAGTTAAAATTTCATCGAATGTTCCAGTTGCTAGATTACGGCCCCATGCTGCAAAATACATGCCTGGGGCCGTAGTTGCTATTCGGGTGCCTCTCTTAAATCTTTCTAATTTTCAAATATATGATTGGCCCGAAGTTTCAACTAGAAGCTATGCTTTGATGGTTTTGATGCTTCCATCTGATAGTGCTAGACAGTGGCATGTACATGAGTTAGAGCTCGTTGAGGTAGTTGCTGATCAGGTTAGTAACTTGCCTGCCTTATTCATTTCCTTTTCTATCATATTTCATTACATGTCATTTGCTTTTCTTTTTTTTATCAGTTCAAAATTACTTATTACAATTGTCTCCTACACCAGGTAGCTGTTGCGCTTTCGCATGCTGCAATTTTAGAAGAGTCAATGAGGGCAAGGGATCAGCTTATGGAGCAGAATGTTGCACTTGATATGGCTAGAAGAGAAGCAGAAACTGCAATTCATGCTCGCAATGACTTTTTGGCTGTTATGAATCACGAGATGAGAACCCCGATGCATGCAATTATTGCACTCTCTTCATTGTTACAGGAAACAGATATGACTGCCGAGCAGCGTCTGATGGTGGAAACAATATTGAAAAGCAGCAATCTATTGGCTACGCTCATCAACGATGTTTTAGATCTTTCACGGCTCGAAGATGGCAGTTTTCAGCTTGACACAGCAAATTTTAACCTTCATTCAATGTTTAGAGAGGTAAAATTTTCACCTAAATCCTAAAAAATTCAACTATAGTATAGTCTCTTAAGTAGCTTATGATGATCTTTGAGTTTCTTAAAAAGCTTGAATTTGTTACATTTGTTATTCTGATTGCAGGTCCTTAACTTGATTAAACCTGTTGCGTGTGTTAAAAAGCTGTCACTCACTTTACATTTCGCATCAGATTTGCCGGTGTATGCAATTGGTGACGAAAAACGTCTCATGCAAACTCTTCTCAATGTTGTTGGTAATGCTGTTAAGTTCTCAAAAGAAGGAAGCATTTCAATCACCGCATTTGTTGCAAAGCCTGAATCCTTCAGGGATATTAGGTTTCCTGATTTCATACCAGTGCCAAGTGATGGTCACTTTTATTTGCGAGTACAGGTTTGTTTCTTCAAGCTTGTCTAATATTCTTCCGTCGCATATTGTATCATCTATTATCTGATTTCATCGGTGGAATATGATTTTTTTTTCACTGCATTATAGGTAAAAGATTCAGGATCAGGAGTCAATCCACAAGATATCCCGAAGCTATTCACTAAGTTTGCACAAAACCAATTAGCGACAAGAAATCCCGTTGGAAATGGGCTTGGCCTTGCAATTTGCAGAAGGTAATATATTCTTGTACGGTTACCACCTTAAAACTTGGATGTGAAACATAGTGATTATTATATCATTATAAAATTGGAACTTGCTCTCTTGAAAATCCTTAGTATTTGTGATTCTCTACTGATTATGTACAATATTTTCATTTGTGGGCAGGTTTGTGAATCTCATGGAAGGCCATATTTGGATCGAAAGCGAGGGTATTGGTAAAGGATGTACAGCCTCTTTTATTGTAAAACTCAGAATCCCGGACAGATCAAATGAATTTAAGCTACCTTACATGCCTAAAGCTCTTGTAAATCATGGATCTACAAGCATCGCCGGTCTCAAAATTCTCGTCATGGATGATAATGGGTCAGTAACAGCTTCATTTCCATCCTTTCAGTTCAGAAATTTGTTACTATGTTATGTCACTTATTTGTGTTGTTTATCCAAACCATATCAATAAATATTTCTAGTATAAATTTAAACTTAGGTGGGGGGATATGTGAATTTGCATCTTAACAATTTTTATGTTCAGACATTTTCACTTCATAGCTTGAAACGAAAAGATCCATAATGTATACAGTCTTGATTTAGTTATTTATTCACTTTCTACTTGCAATCTAAAGAACTCAGAAATCAAGAGTTGTTTAGTGGCTGATATATTTGCTGTTTTTACTCTTTTGCTTGTTTGTTTCATAACGCACGGTGAAACTTGTAATGCAGGGTGAGCAGGTCAGCCACAAAGGGGCTTCTTATGCATTTAGGATGCGACGTCACAACTGTAGGCTCGAGCGAAGAATGTCTGCGTGTTGTTTCGCAGGAACACAAAGTGGTCTTCATGGATATTTGTACAGGGTTAGATGGTTATGAATTAGCAGTTCGTATCCAAGAGAAATTCGCAAATCGTCAAGATAGACCACTTATAGTTGCTCTCACCGGAAACACCAACAAGTGGACTAAAGAAAACTGTACGAGAGCTGGTGTGAATGGCCTTGTTTTGAAACCTGTTTCTGTTGAGAAGATGAAGAGTGTTTTAACAGAGCTCTTGGAGCGGCGATTTGTGTTTGAAACAGTTTAAACTTACCATAATGTCTTCTTATTATGAAAAACTTTTGTTGTACATAGCTAAACCAAATTAGCAGAGATGCGAATTTATGATGTATGGAGGAACTCAAATGAAAAGGCGTGAAGGAGGCCCTAAGCCACTGCTGAGTCTGGATTGTTAATCCATTTTTGTGAACAAAGTTCATATATAAACATATTCATTTTTGTATAATTTCAGGCTTTTGATGTTTCGCAGTGGTGAAATTTCATTTACAGACTTGTTTTAATGAATATTATCTCAACATTTTGAAAACAGATGGAAAAATAAATGCTTCTATTTCACTGTCATTGACAATAGGCTAGTAGTTCAAAGCTGAGCTTCCACATTCACAACATTTGTACAGTCTACGAAACAAGAATGTGAAAAATCTACAAAATTTACAGGCCACGAAGTCTAAACTCATGCGGATGTATATGGATTACCAATAATCATTGCAAGAGCATTTACCATACTTGATGTGATGAAATCTGTTTGCATCTCTCACTACAATCTCTCTTCCAGTGACAGTTGATATATATTTCATCGCCGAATGGCAGTCACCACAAACACGAAGGTTCTTAAATACCCTTATAGGTTTTGAATTAGGTGTACTAATAAGTGCAAATGCAACTGCAAGTTTCTCACTGTGTTGAAATAGATATTGTTCCTTTTGTTCATCTTCCACGTCGTGAAGAACAAAATCTGTGTTTGGAACATAACCTACATTCTTTATTTTTAAAGCCAATTCATCAAGTTTTTCATATATTTTTTGAGCTTTAGGGTGTAAAGTATCCCCTACATGGAATATGTGCACCTGGCTCTCAACTTCAATCCAACTACAACCTGCTTCTTTTGTTATCTGTTTCTGCTTCATTCTTTTTCTAATGGCTGCTACATCATCCCACCGTCCTCCTGAAGCATACAAGTTCGACAATAGTATATAAGTAGCTGGATCGTGAGGTTCCCGTTCAAGAATCATTTTCGCGGCATGTTCTCCAAGCTCGGTGTTCCCATGAACCCGACAAGAACCAAGAAATGTACGCCACACCAATGCATCAGCATCAAAAGGCATTGAGTTTATAAATTCAATAGCCTCGGAAAGCAATCCAGATCGACCAAACAAATCAACCATACATGCATAATGCTCCATCCTTGGAACAATTCCATGGTTATCGCGCATGGAAGTGAAGTGTTTCCATGCCTCATCAATTAAACCAACGTGACTACATGCCGATAAAACTGCAATGTAAGTGACATCATTCGGCTTCACTCCTGTTTTGAGCATATCATAGAACAATTCTAGTGCTTTTGAAGCAAAACCATGTTTTGCAAAACCATTTATGATAGAGGTCCAGGTTATGACATTGCGATCCTCCATGTCATTAAAGACTTGTAAAGCAGCTTCTTTGTTTCCACACTTGGAATACATAGAGATCAAAGCATTATTAACACTTAGGTCAGTCCCAAATCCCATCTTCACCACCATGGCATGAATTTGTTCACCCTTACCAATTGTACCGATACAAGCAGCACCACTCAAGAGGCTAGCATATGTAAATGAACTAGCTCCATTACCAGTGAAATCAATTTGGCGGTTCACGTCTTGTTCAGAATTCAAATTCGAATCTATCACACTTGCATCATCAACAACCCCGCTACACGAAACCAAATTCTTCTCAAACAAAACATCAAAACACTTTCGAGCACATTCCATTCTCCCGGACCTTGCATACACACTAACAAGAGCATTCCCAACACAATCAATCTCAGAAAGGCCTAATTTAATCGTCTGCCCATGAATCTGTTCACCAAACCCAAAATCAGGTAGACTAGCACAAGCCTTGAGAACACCTGAGAACGTAAAGCAATTTGGCGCAACACAGCCTTGAACCATCATATCACTAAACAATCTCATAGCTTCCCATTCCTGTCCTCCCCCACCTCGCACATATCCATTTATAACCGCAGTCCACGACATCACATTATGACCCGTTATACCATCAAACACTCTCCTAGAATCTCGCATTAACCCACATTTCGCATACATATCAACCAAACTACACCCAACACACAAATCATAAACCAACCCAGACCTAATAACCCAAGAATGCAACTCCTTCCCAAACCTCAAAAATTCAATCTCAGCACACATTGATATCAAACCAGTTAACGTAAACCTATCCGGTACATAACCACTACTCACCAACATATCCAAAAACAACCCAATAGCATCCCCATAAAACCCGAATTGCGCCAACCTAGTAATCATCAAAGTCCAAGTAACAACATTCCTCTCACGCATTCTATCAAACACCTTCCGTGCAGACTCCAAATCACCACCCCCACTTTTCACAAACATATCAATCAACTCACAACCAACACAAACATGAGAATCAAAGTACCCCGTCTTCAAAACAAACCCAAACAAACTCAACCCAGTTTCAAAAAACCTCGAACTCTTCACACACGCGCGAATTACCGCGGTAAGGCAATATTCATTAGGAAAAATCCGATCTTGGTGAAGCAATTCAACAAACATAGTAATAGCTTTTAACGGATTTTTATTGTTTGCGTAACAAGAAATGATTGAACTGTATGAAACAATGTCTCTTTTGGTTACATCCATGGTTTGGAAAATAGAGAGCGCGGTTTCGGTGTCGCCGGATTTTGAGTAGAGGCTGATGAGTGAGTTGAGGAGGACTGAGTCGAGGGAGAGTTGGGAATCGGTGAGTTTGTGGTGGAGGAGTTTGCCGAGGTGGGAGTTGTTGGTTCGGATGCATGCTTTGAGGAGAAGTGAGGAGGTGATGAGGTTGTTAGGGGTTGGGTTTAGGGTTGAAATGGCTTTGTGGAGTTGTGTGGGGTTTAGATTGTTGAAGTTTTCTTGTTTAGGTGATGATGATGATGATGCTTTTTGAGTTGATGAGTTTTTGAGATTGAGATGAGAAGGAAGAGGAAGAGATATCTTTATGTTTGGGATTGACATTTTTCAAGTTACATTGCTTAAACACTTGGGATAATGTTGTACCTTTTATTCTTCTTATTATTTTTCTTTGCATGGTTTATTTTTATTTTTATTGAATATATATCTTAGAAGCAGATCAAAACAACACAAAAATAATCTGGATTCCAATCTTCGAAATTTCTACGGAGATTAATTTCTAGACGCTTTTGATTTATATTCTCGTGTTAGACTTTTCTCTTTTCCTTTTTTATTTTAGAAAATTTTCTAAGAGTCTCAAAACATAACTCGTGAGCAAATTTTATTTTTATCATTTTTCAAGTTTTCTCACTACTTCAACTATATTGCTTTCAAGTTTAGAACATCGTTCAACCTCTACTATACTCCACTCCATTCAATTACGATTTCACATTTATTTTTCAAGCTTTCTTACAATTTAATTTTTTTTGTCATTTTCTTTTTTTATTTATTTTATGAATGTATTGTCTAAATAGGTTGTTTATGGTACATTATGTTTAGTTAAAAGCATTATGAATTTATTTGTAATGCATGCATTTACAAAATTTCAAGTTTAGAGCTTAGGGATTTTGTCTATTTGTTTTCTATTTCTCTCGTTTCGTTCAGAGATTAGAATCCAGATCATGAGTTTGGAGAAAAAAAATCTAAATTTTTATATTCAGCATCATTTTTTATTTTGTCTGTTTAACCTTTGGATTTACATTATTTGATTATGATATGATTTTTATGGTACTTACAAGTAAAATATCTGACAACCAAGACAAACTGATGCATGGTAGAGTGACCAAACAAAATCCTGTTGAAGGAAAAAAGTTAGACTCTCTCGACTAGTCGTTGATGTCACTTCATTTGATGCAGGAGTGTCGTCTTTCAAAGTTTGTGTGTCTCCGATATTATCCTCCCAAAGACACGAGTCTCTGCTGCTGCGGTAAAACGCCAAGCAAAAATAAGTATTTTTGTTTTTATCATTTCCACGGGGATTAGTGCGAGGAAAAGAATGTCGTTCAATAGTCTCCACATTTTTTAGTTTGATTTTGAATGGTTTAAATGTAAAGTTCCAAAAGTAAAACGTATAAACAAGTAAATAAATGCATTCTTAGAGAGAAAATAACTAGTCGGGAATGAATTTCATCTATCCATCAAATACTTAAATCTATTGATCAGTTGTACGCAACTAAACAACACAGAGGACTAAGAATTGATACCCACAAGAAATATTAGGTCTAAATCTATTTGTAGAGCTTAGAACCAAATAGATGTCCATCCTAGTTTCAGATCTGAAGAGTATATGTCTATAGCAACTCAAATTTAAACATAAAGCAAGCAAACAAGGATAACATCGATAGCGATTTATAAAATAGATATTATACAATGCCATGATCAATAAATACATATAAAATCAAAGTAAAGTTGCATACAAACACCAACAATAAAGAATACAAAGAGAAGAAGAGAGATGAACCACTCTCGCGGTGTCAAGACGATTGTTGCAAATTTAACTCTGAATCATCAAGTTGCAACCTCGAATGTTGTTTTCTAAACCTCAAATCTCCAAAAATGGGTTTGGTGGAGTTGGGAGTAAAAAGCCCCAAAACCATCCCTAAAAGAATATGAAAAAAATGAATTTATACCAGCTGAAAATTGCATATCGCGCTTAGCTCGCTCAGAGCGCGCTAAGTGCGATGTCACTTATTGCACCAAATCGATCTAACGCATGCTAAGCGCCATCAGAGCACGCTTAGTGCGGTTACCTCTTCCTGGACACTCTGCAGCACGCTTAGCATCGGTGCTTAGCTCGACCTAGGACACTTATTTCCATTAAAATTGCATCTTGAAGCCTCACTTGTGCCTATTAATGCTCAATGCTTTAATCATGCGAAGAATCCTACAAAATAAGCAAAAAATGGTTAATCTATACAATATTTACATGATAAAATAATTAAGCTATTATTTACACAAAAGTCGGGGTTTTACTTATTAATACATAAAAATCGACTTATAAGTGCCACGAAATACTACTGAAAATAACGATATTTTGACACTCATAAGTCTCTTATTGTTGTCTATGATGCCCCATAATCCCCAAAGGTCCATGTTGTTGAACCTTCTATTGACAATCCTGATGTTTTTCTAGGAGGCCCTTCATACATGTCACTTCTTTATTTGTCGCCTATTGACAATTCTGGTTGTGGTAATACATGTTGATGGTGATGATGTGTAGGTTGTGTATCATAGAGGATGAACATTGAAGGCATACCTCATATTTTTGGTTGACGCATGCATATTTATGAACAAAAGTGCAACCTATGTCGATGTCATATGTAACATCGTGGTTTTCATTTATTTGTTTTATTGAGTTTAAAATAATTTATATTAAATTTATTAGAATTTTAAAGTTCTTTATTTTATTTTATTTGGTTATCGGGAATTATCATACTTTTGGAGAATTATTATATTTTATTTAATTAAAATTATAAGAGAAATATGAGGAATTGAACTTTGTGAGGAAAATAGCATTTTTACATAATTAGTGGGTTTACCAAGAATTGGGGGGAAATGAGAGTATGAGAAAACTTTGGAGAAATATGAGTTTGAGGGAAAGAGGCAACCCTAGCTAGAAGAGGAACTTTATTGTCAAGTTTCAATCTCTTCCTGCAATTTAGAGGTAAGAGGAGAATATTCATCTTTGAGTGTATTTGGAATAAGGAATAGAGAGGGATCATTACCCTCTTCTTGTTTTTCTATTTCTTTCTCTACTGATGAGGTTTAGAACCTTGAGATGGTTGTGCAAACCTCTCTAGATTATTGTGTTATGATATTATTTTGTATTGTGTTAATTGTTGAATTACATATGAATTTATATGTGAATTTTTTAGTCATGATTGTTCATGTTTATGTGTTGTTAAGATGATGAATATGATGATGATTTGGTGATAAATTGATGTTAATATGTCAAATATATGTATTAATGATGTGTTGAGTAGTATATGAGTCGTAAATAATAATTTCTAGGAATTTTGGGTGAGTTAGAATAAAAACTGGAGCTTTAGAATGGCTCTAATCGCAGATTTTGCAATCTACAAAGAGATGACAGATGACACCTTCGTGACGGGCCAATCGTCACTACGTATGAGAGAGCTGACAGGCGTCAACATGGTGACGGGACGACTATCACAGTCTCTAAGCAGGCTTCTTGCCTGGTCGTCAACTGGATGACAAATTTGTGAAGGGAGAGTGGTGAGGGACAGTCATGAAGGTCGTTATGAAGAGAAGGTTGACTGTCATCCCTTCGGTTGACCGACTCTAAGTTGTCAGTTTGATTTTTGAGTTCTATTCGATTACGATGAATGTTTGTTGTTGTTTGGATGGGTTTAGTGAGTTGGTGAGTTGAGTTTTTATATTTTAGAGTTGTTACAACTTAAAAGAGCTAAGGTTAGAGTACGTCTTGTGACTCTTATTTTTGAATAAAAAGTGGAAGAGTTGTTTTATGAGCTCTATTGAGTTATGGAAAAATATTGTTGAGTGTAACGGTTAGGGAATACTAATTTTTGTTCATGTCGATGAGCATTGTTAAGTTTTTTACATAATTAATTATTATGTTATTGTTTATACACTATGTTGAGTTATGTTGAGAAGTGTGGTTCAGAGAGGAACTGTTGTGATGGCCTCATATTAGCGATGTTTATGGTTTGAATGGGAATTATTGATGATTTTTGTATTTATACTTTGTTGTCGCATTTCCTGCATAATTAGTAATATAACTCTGATATCCAAAATTGGTACAACACGCATTGGAGATAGGTGTGCAAACTTCGGTCTATTGACGAGTCTTGGTTCAGAGAGGGGACCATTGACGAGTCTGCGTTCGAAGAGGAACCAACACTAAGTGGATTAAATCAGTAATATAACTGATATATAAAATTGGTACCACGTGCATTGAAGTAGAATAGTCAATTGCATTGCATACATAACTACACTTGTGATTGATCATTATGTAGATCATGTATATCTCTGATGATTGATGTGATTGAGGGTGTTATATTTTGTTGTTTTATGCACCGCTAATATTTATTAATGTATTCTCACCCCCCGTTTGTTTTGTTTATGGTATTGTGTACGCTTGTGGTACATATATTTGGATAGAGGAGTCTTAAATGCTAATGAGTTAGAGGATGACGTAGAGGTCTTCTTTATTTATTTTACTTATGTTGAGTTATTTTAGTTTTGTTGTCGCTTTGATTTGTAACACTGGGATGTGTTACTTTATTACTTTTGTGTTTTTGAGTGTTTTGATTTATTTTATTTAAATGAAGTATTTTATGTTTAAGACAATTAAATGGTTTTGATGTTTTGAGTTTCGCTGTTAATCTATGTTATAGTTCTGAGAAAGATGCATGTTGAGATATGTAGCACCGATTTACGAAAATTATTTGTTTGTTTTTTAATAAATAAAGAGAGTTGGGTTTATGATGTTACATCATCTATTTCAGACACTACATTAACTTGGAAATGATTTGTGAGTATAATTAAGGGGTCTCTTGTTTCGTTTACCTACACTTCAATTTAGGTGAAACTTGTATATGGAAGATTAGACTGTTGACGAGAAACAATTGCCCATTTACAATAATATATTTTTCACCTTTATTTTTACTAATATTTCACAATGCTATTGTGTTACTAATATTTCATCTGAACCATTTTCAAACATTGATCCACTAGCATTTTCCACTATGGGTGTTTATTGGTTTGGAAAAACCTGAACCAAATCGAAATCCAAACCATGGCATGGTGTTTAGGTCAGATAGTTTTTTAGTTCAAGCAAAAGTCGAACTAAATCAATGAAACTCAATGTTAACTAATATAAGGTGTTCAACTTCAATAAGAAGAAAAGTAAACGTCATTTGTGACATTTACAACCTATATGGAGAAACGAAAAAAATTAGAAATTTACATCATTATGAAAAATTAGTTGATATAAATTAGATATTTTTATCTTGTTAAGTCAG